TAATAAATAATAATAATAATAATAAATAATAATAATAATAATAATAATAATAATAATTCGGCTGCATCACCCCTTTGCTTTCTAGCTGCCATGCTACCCTAGGGATGAAGCAGGAGGTGCTGTCAGGTTGCCCAAACTTAGGCAGGAGTATTCGGGATACAGAATTTGGGTTCAAACCACGGACCATCCGGCCAGTAAGTTCGTGCCTTAACCACTGAGCTATCTCGAGCTTGGCCTATCATTGGTTTTCAATGGGTGCGTGCATCAAACTGCCGCCGCGAGAGTCGGTCCTGTTTGAGTGGAGGATCTGAGGCATCTTCAGATCTTTGAGGAGCGATATCTCAAAACTGTAACTGGAATCCTCAGTATCACATTAAGACAACCGGGAAACGGGTCTGTAGTGAAATAGAAGGTACTTTACTCGAGGGATGCAATCTTAGTTGACCAGACCATATACTGCTCATGTTGAGTTGCCGTCTACCCTGAAGAGCGTTTTCCGTGCCTAGTCCGAAGTGGTGAAGACCTACAGGCGAAAGGAATATGGCACGGCGGAAGGAGGGTTTTACGAAACATCTGAGTAGTGTTGATGCGGTTGGCATTCCGGGATGGGAGCCGTGTGACCCCTGCGCTTCGCTGGAGACGCGGAATGATAGAGCGCACAGTCGTTGTTGGTGGCTTTTATACTATCGGTTGCCTTGCAGTTTGTCCGAATGTTGGAAGGGAAGGCAACTTGGATCTTTGTGGTGGGATAGCTCTAGTCCCTCCATCTCTATCAAAATTGTAAAATGCGATGTGTGATAAAATTTACTTGCATAATCGGCGAAAACTGGTTCTCTAAAAGAGACTACTTGGACCGTTTCATGTGGATGGTATATGTATACATCGCATCCTTTTCATCATCAGAGTGTTCCCTTCATCTTTTGGGTTCTATCCGAGCAGTCCTGAGACTCAAATGCACCAATCGGATGATAAATATCTTCAAACTCCGACTTGACGCCGTTTTTTCTCTTGCTAGAGGTTGTATACAGTCAGTTTGTAAAAGCTATGGGCGAAAGACTAAATGGGCGTGACACGAAAATTGCTTAACCACCTAGAATATTTTGAGGCGTTATACGTCCCGAGGCACGACGCCTCATCGTGCCCCACACGTGTGTACCCCATCATTTGTGTGTAATGCACAGGATGCATGGGTGATTAAATCTCTCCCCATGGAGACCACGTTTCATCCCGTAAAACAGAGCTGAGTCCACAAAGACGTTTTTGCGTATTTCAGTTTGGAGGCTTTCGCCGTGAATGGGTAGACTATGACTGCAACTCGTCCCAGCAGCTCGCACCCCCAAGTCCTGAGCTATATCAAATCGTTATAAGGGGTTAAATTTTGGTCCTACTTTTGATCCCGGCCCGAGAAATCGTTGTTACTCTCCTAACTAATAGGTCTTCCGTTTTCATGGTGGATGAAACATTTGGCATGCTAGATTTATATGTATACCTGTTAATAATGCACCTCCTACAGTTTCCACGTTTTCTAGTGCGTGTTACTTTTTCTTGTAGCACTTCATTCCCAATTCCTTATCTGAATCACGATGGCAAAAAGTATTCGAAGTAAATCGAAAAGGAAGTTCCGAGCCGTCAAACGCACCAAGAGCCTCAAAAAAATGAAGGACGAACTCCAAAATATCGCGAACCTCGATGTGAAGCTTGTCACCCTGCCGTTTGTAACTCGGAATGAACTGCTTACTGCCTCTCGACAGGAACCACCTGCGGCATCTGATCTGGCGGACCAGGGACAGAAAGGTAATTGATGTCGTTCTAATCTTTCAAAGTCATCTTAGATCAAGCTGAACCCATGGAGACATCCAAGGCAGTGTCTATACGAAACCAGCACGGCAATTACCCGGTATGGATGAACAAACGAGAAAGGAAACGGCAAATAAGGTTGTACAGAATGAAAAAGAGGAGTAAAAGACGTTGATTCGATCTTCTTGACCTTTACTCGATGGATTCTAAACAGCGTCTAAAAACACATTCGTGTAAGCGGGTTAATACTCTTTTTATCACAAATTGTGCGCTGTCCATCGTTCCGGCTACGAATTACTGGAGACAGGATATTGACTAATTGTCCAATGAAGGCTGTTGTAGGGTGAAATTCCTTATGCGATGCCTGGATCATCTGATAGCTTCATAACCAACGGCCAATTTGTCACTTATATAAACGGTAGTGTCACGAAAAGCTCTGTTAATGAATCTTTTGTGACCTAGTTGTCACAGATGATATGCTAATATCTCGAAGCCTGACAACTACGGGAGAAGGGACATTTCCATCTTTCATCGGGAGTGGACTGCTCAGGGTCAGTATATAGGATCCAACCTCAGTACACTGGGTCTCGGAAACATTACACGTGAAACTCAACCATAGAATGATTACCAGCGTTCGAATCCAGGGTGGGATCTCAGGTTGAATGTCGCCCGTTGCAATGCAAGGGTACGACCGACTTCGACGAGTAACTACAGCCTTGTGGATTTTAGTTTATTTTTTCAGCTAGTTCAGCTATGTTTTGAGCAGCTTAGAAGCCACCGGTACCCTGGATTTCGTCCTATGCTCAAGTCGTTAAAAAATTGTTATTTGGGTGTTGATTACGGGGTTCACGGACTTCTTTCTTGGGGTGAAGTTGCTCTTTAGGATTGAAATTGTGAACACGAGCCTCGAGTGATCTGTTGAGGTAGGGGATCCCGTCGAATTCCGACGGTGAATGTTTGCTGGGGACTCTCGAGGGGGACGGCCTTTTCGAGTCTATATTCCTCTTGGATAGATTCTTGTACTGGTATCTCACGCTCGGAGACTATCCTTGTTTTGTAAATAATTCGCCCATCATACACCACTGAAGGAAGTACGAAGTATGAGGCACAAGAAGATTCGGAACAACAGAGGTATTTCTGTGCCACGTCTCTTGATCAGGAGCTCGTGGTCCGACAGCCGAGTTGTGCGACGCTCATGGCAGTGATAAACGAAGTCGGTTAGTAATATTCCATACGACGCTCGTTTAATTACGTTTGGTGCACGTGATGAAAATACATGGTTTCGTTAAAACATTTGTCAACAATTAACTGGGATCTTTCGAGCACCCGTTCCCAGGTCTGGTGCTACACACTCAATTTTTACACGTTTGTTTGGGATAGGGGACGGGAATGGCTCTGCGTAGATCGCGAATTTACTGACCACCGCATCTCGATTTCCCGTCTAGGCTTGGGCAACCTGGCAGTATCCCAGCCAGGTGAGTGGCATGGCATCTAGGCACCGAAAGTGCATTACAGCTGAACGATTTTTTGTGTGCGATACCATGGACGAGGGGGGGGGGGCAGACGGCCCGTGGTAAGAACGCGAATTTATTGACCGGAAGGTTCGTGGTTCGAATCCCACCTCCGCCTCTCGACTTCCCCTGTCTAGGCTTTGGCAACCTGGCAGTATCCCAGCCCTCGTGCTTCCTTCGGGTGGCATGGCAGCTAGGCACCGGAAGAGTGCTACAGCTGAACGGAACGGTTAATGGACGAAGAGATACCAAATGTGGTCTTTTTTACAAACGCGGTAATCCCCATGGCAGAAGTTGAGTGCGACCAAGCAGGATCGCAATCCAATCCCCAAATGTAGTCAACAAATAAAAGTTAACCTTCGTGCTGCTGGAACTTGCTGGACGATGCTTGAAACCACAATCGGCCAATAAACATTGAAGTGACGCTACGGATGTATGATTAACCCCGCAGGCATTCGACCGATGCCCATCTGTCATGCCATCAGAAGAAGCAATGTTCACAGTTATAGAGAACTATGGGATAAAGTGTTCGATTTAAGCACGGCGTGCGTGTCAAGCACTCGTCCTGGAGAGCTATTGAACAGCCCACTGCTGGTTTCGCCACTACTGATATTCACCACCTTGGCGTAATCTCCGAATTTTATCAACATACTTGAATTATAAATGTGGAGTTAATTATTTGCAGAATGTGTTGATAAAATCTTCCTTTCGCAAGTCGAGAACATTATATCCTCGAACGTCCCGCACGAGTACCGCCCCGTGTTTCAGTTGGAATGAAATTAAAGATATCGCCTTCTGACATGACACTACTTTGGGCTTTTAAAGTGCTGTACTCAAATGAAACAAGACATCACGGACAACAGTGTTGCGGGTATACTCATTTCATACACTCGCTTCGACCACATATCGTTAAGAACGATATGAGTAACGAGTTACATTCCAGCTGATTGATCAGTCAATAAGACCAAGACGGTCAGTCATTTTAGGTGCAGATGATAGGCTTAAAAAGGGCACTCAATATTTCATCGAGTAAGTTCATTCTATGTAGCTGTTGCTCCGCGATTGGAATAGTAAAGACGAGTGGGGTTCGAGTGTGTTGCATACTTATTAATCTTTAGTTTGATCCCGGACTCGATCAAATTTGAGCCAGGTTCAGCTGACGGTTCAGATAGCTTTTGGATACTCACCGACTTTCGATTAGTGGCTGTGGCACATTCCGTGCTGTAGTTGTTTTCTAGTGTGAGTCCGACGGGGTAGATGGTTAGTGTTCGTTAAGGTAAACCAAGGGTGTTCACTAGTATATGAATATGAAGGTACTTCATTACCGGGATGAAGTTGTGCATTATTCGCCATCCTCGTCCAGGGAAATCGACACAGACAAATGACATCCTCAGGTTTTTTCCGGGGTTCTCTCTTGGAGTAATCAATGTACAACCAACCGGCTGGTAAATACCGACTAACTGTAGCCAGGATGGCCCCAAAATGACAGAACCCGGAAGACTGGAAATTTTGAGTGATCGAAAGGTACAAAAGATTGCCCCGTGAGTGACTACGAACTAAGAGCAATAGCTTTGACGCATGAACGCCACTGCCGGCTTAACTGAGCCATGTCCACCGGTATCATTAACCACTCATGTGTTGAGTCATGGAGAGTGGCGGTTGTCTACCCGACGGTCTGTTGTTTAGCGCTTTTATACTTCGTTGCCAGGTTATAGACTGCCCGCTTCTCGATCATTTCCACTCAGCACAGGGCTGGACAAATCTCGTCCGTGAGTAGCCCACTGCGGGTGAGTTTCTTCTAACTACAACTGTCTAACGTACCCAAGCAGTGCTAGTCAGGTGTTCCCGCCGTACCTGGCCAGTGCTTTAAAGGTACTGATGTCCAAACGCCAAGTTCTCGTAGATCCTCATTGCAGAGATCACATTTCCGGTCCATAAGGCAGGGAGGATAGCATTTCGCCCTTAAAAGAGAAAGTAACACTACAGCAGCAGCGAAGTTTGGCGAGAGGTGAATTCGACTCAAGTCTGGCACAAATAAGTGGGTGGTAGGGTTCTTTTTGAGGACCGCACAAGGTTGACCGTGACCGCCGACGTATTATCTAATGCGACCGAAGTACATTTAAAACCTATGAACGATCCGGTGCGGCTCCAAGTGTATCTGCTATGCACAGTAGCACCAGGAGTGCTATACCCATGCCTTACTCACTGAGCCCTCAGGCCGGGCCTTCGTGTTGGTGAACAGCGAAGCATCGTGGTTCGGTTCAAGGAAGATGATTTGCGGAGACAATGGTCAATCTTTCAATTTGAGATGACAGCTAATGTTCAAGTTTGCGGGAATGCGTCCGCGGACTCCAACAAGGCTGTGTCATGGTGCCTGCTACTATGACTAACGTACATGGATGTGCGCAATCCATGTGGTGCAGCAGCTCAGTATCATCTAAACCACCACCTTTTCAATTCAAAACATCTAGCCAAACATATGCAGTGACTCAGTCTACATGCTGCTATTTTGCTTACGACTACGCTTTATTGGCACATTTGAAGCAGAACTAGTGTCCAGCGGCAACATTTAGGTCTATAGTCTGTCTCCTAGGGGATGCCAAAACTAGTCAGACATCGAGATTTGTGGCAATTAGGCAGCTTGTTGCTAGGGTTTGTTCGGCAGCACTATATTCACCGCCTTTGAAAATAAGGTTTTGCAGGTAGCCTTTCTGTGCTAAAATCGACAGTCATCCGATTGCGCAGTATCACTGCGTCCCTTGTTATCCTTTCGTTTGTGAAAACCGCTCGACCTACAATGTCCAAACTTCTGGAGACGCAGTCCACTGACGGAGGGCCAGCCAGCCATAAAGTCACAGTCACATCCCGTCCTTCTGCTCACAGTTACCGGCCAGGATGCGTTAGCACTAGCACCTCAACACAACTATACTAGATCAGGTATAAGGAGTAGACAAATGGTAGGGACCTTTTCAATTGTTATCCATTTCGGGACATCTGTAGGTAGACACCAAGCTCAGCTCTATCATTGGCCATGACACCGAGTAACAAGGGTTATGAATGCCTACTTTGCAGCTATCATTTCCTTCCGGTCGAGTTGTACGCTTGGACACTCGACTATTCCCTCCAGGGGATTCATATTGAACGCTTGTTTCACCAGCCATCTTCGGGCAAGGAAGCAATAAACAAGACAAGGTCTTGAGAAGTAGAAATCGGGACGCATAAGCGGAGAAAGCCCCTGATCCCTACATGGCGCGATTTGATCGCAGATCCAAGTTTCGAGTGGCTGTTGGTCAGTTCGTAGAAATCGAGACTTCTAAGCGTTGAAACTGAAGTTGAAAAGCGCTCTTCATAGTCCAGTTCGCCAATCTATTTTATCATTGGACCTAAGAAGCTTAAATGCTCCAGAATGATACTTCAGTAAGACAAAACCAGCATGAATATTCAATAGTATTGCATCTATGTTAACATCTTACGCGTGACCAATCTGTCCAAGAAGACATTTGTGGAGTAACAAGGTTCCATGGTTAGCTAATGTCTCTTGTTCTCTATGCTCGACGAAAATCAATACGAGAAGCAGTAGAAAACGTCATACAGATATACAAATGTACGTGTAAACGACAACCTAGTGGAAAAAGAACGCTAAAATCTGACCGGGATCAATATTGCATCTCAGCAACCCGCTTAGTCTGTGTTGCGGCAGATGTGTTTATACTGGAAGACTGGGATGGGATAGGGCACAACGGTATGTACATATTGATCGGGAACACTGCAGAAGTGTCAAGCTCCGAAACATCTGGAGCCTATCTGGTTGTGCAAAAAGCTAAATTAAGTTGGTGAAGAAACACGCATGTTAGCAAGGAACGAGCCTAGTGTCGCTTGTCGAAGGCGGTGGGTTTCGGAGAGTTGACTACCAAAAGGCGAATCGACATTCATGTTTCTGGGGAAGAGTGATAATTTGCGTGGGTTTCCTCGCCTCGCGAAGGAGTCGGGTGGAGTCTTCTGAATGGCTGGCTGGGTAGGACGTCGTGACTTAATTACGCCGCCTCGGCCACGCATACCAAACTGCCGACTGTTCCAAACGAGGGACAAAACTGATTTCTGTCGTTGAACAACTGACGGACTACGTCGCTCGTCCGGCGAAGGACTCATCTTGCGCGGTCGGACGGAGCGTCGTTCAGAACGCCGTAGAGTTGAGGTCTGCTGCACACTGTCCTGCAGAGGAGTTGGATTACTCGTTGAGGGTGGACTCGAAGAACTGTTACTCTCAGAACTGCCACTAGCAATCGAGTTATCTGCTGGAGCCAGGTCCGCATACGCGCCCGGCTCCAATTCCCAAGCCGCATCCCTAGACAGAAAGATAGAACGGAATTAGCGATGACTCAGCCGAAACAATGGCCCCCGAAAATACCTAGGGAAGGTTCCAAATCAAAGTGAAGAGCAATGAGCCTGATAGCTAAGAGGAAGGAATGCTGGTGGTCTCCGTTTAAACCTTTCGTTGAGTTTACCCTTTCCCACAACCAACATTCGACTGTCGCACACCGAAACCTGTTCAGTTAGGAAATTAGCGAAACACCCGTTTTGTTCAAACATAGTTTATGTAAATGCCATCAAGCAAAAACGTAAATAACGACGGTACAGTCCATCTAGTATGAATGAACCGAATGTTCGGCAAAGTAGGAAAACCAGTGCACCTCTGGCTAGAATACTACATCCTTCATCAGCATGAACAGCTCACACTAGAAAAGTGGCCGAGGTCGAGCTAAACGCCTTAACAAGTATATTTGAATAAGTTGGTGTGGATTGGCTGCTTAATTACAAAGGAACTTTACCGATCCAGTTCAATTCAGTGGAGTAAGGGAATTGACGCATTCCCAACACGAAACCATAACCATGGCCATAAATCTCTGGTTCTACATCCTCCAACGTCGGACGACCTGCTGGTATTTCATAGACTATGTCATTAGTGTGCATTACTGAGTTTAGGAACAATCCGATTGTTTCGGAATTAATTCGCGAATCAACCAATCTGAAGAAAGAAAGAGGAAGAAAGAAAATGAGCAAACCTTGATATGAACGTTTAGGAATCCATGACCTCAGTATGAGCGAGACGAATCTAGCGAATATCCAGCAGGAAACGTAGTAATTAGGTGTTACAGTAGTCGGATAACACCACTAACTGCAAGTTCATTAGGAAAAATAACCTTTGGCTCTGGTTGAAACGTTGCCTTATGTCTTCGAAAACCCATTTATGGGACCCATAACGGAATAATTTAGATGGCGACGGGCCCTCTGGATATTTCGGAAGCTGAGGAACTATCGCCTACCGATGTGAACAAACGGCGTACACAAGTCTAACAGTATTCGGAATGATGTCAGAATCCGTTGGCTCCATACTGGTTTACCTCACGTAAAGCTAACTGAACCGAAAGCCTCGATGGCCATAGTTATGGTGGCATCTTCCAGCCCCGTGAGATGGCTCAGTAGTTAGAGCGCGAATTTGCTGACCGGGAGAAGTCCGTGGTTCGAACCCAACCTCTTCCTCTTCACTTTCTCTGTCTACGCTTGAAGCGTAGCAGTACCCCAGCTCTCGTGTTTCCTTCTGGGGACATGGCAGTCAGGCACCGAAAGGGTACTAAAGCTGAACGATTTTTCCTTGGGGAAAGGCAGCATCGCTACTTCCGTGAATATGGACATGCTTGTGGCCTGGTAGAAATATCTTACTGCCCATACACTACTATCGCAGGGGATAGTTCAACATTAACCCCAGTCCGCCATGTATTACGACTACCAGCTCCAGCTGTTCTGGGCCTGACTGCTTCCCTTTGGTTTTCCTCACATGACACCATGTGTCCGCCGGTATATTGGGTATATGTTTTCGGACACTTCGCTGCAAATACAGGAAGTATCAGTCCTTGTATGATTTGTTGGGGACGGAAAAGCGTCTTCTTATTCAACGGATTTTATTCATAAGACCGTTAAAGGAAGGAAAATCTTTGTTGCAGCCGAGTTTTTATCGTCTCACTACAGTTGTAGTATTTTGACCCGGCTGTTTGAAGTAGATAAGGGGTGTCCACTTCCAGAATTTACACGCTTTGTGAGAGCAACCGAGATGAAAGGGCCCTTCGGTTTTGGATAAATCTCACCAACCGATATAGACGATCATAATGACATATGTTAAGCAGTACACTACGTTGTCGTACACTTTCAATAGCAGGACTGTCCTTTTTCCTGGTTGAAGTATTCCATTTAGAGATAATTCGCACTACAATATACTTTTCTGCTTCAGATGTTCCCTAACATGTAGCTACGGTCGTCAGTATTCGAAAGCAGGATGTTTAGCTCAGTGCATCGATGGACACTCTCTAAAGTGTCCGAGACAACGACCAACAAGCCTAGGACCGAAAGCTACCAAAAAAGCGCGAAACAGCTCATCAACATCAAACGTTGCGTGTTATTATTTGGACTTAACTATTCAAGCAGTTGCAACCGACACTAGGCGTAGAGAAAATGCTGAGGTATATGGTTCGACCTACTGTGGTAGTACATACGTGGTACTTAGTCGCCTTCCCTTTGAACTGCCAACTTTCTCTTGTGCAGATGATTCCACTAGTCGCGCAATTAACCTCTATTCTTTGAAGTGTGGTAAAGCAGCGACTGGCCGGATTTACTCGAGATGCCGCCTGCCGACACGAGGAGCTAAACATTTGGCAAAAGTGATTGCACATGTATAAAATACGAAATAGGCTAGAATGTCTGTTAAGCACAACAACCAGGAAATTTGAAACTGCTAATACCACTCGGTTTGGTCGGAGGGGTGGTAGACGGGGTGACAGCCTAAATGTAGTCAAGTGAAGTCTGTTGGCCGAAGGACTGCCTGGAATGTTTTCCATGGCTCTGCGGAAACTTTATTTCCTTCAAAACCTATCAGTTTTCTAAGATGACTTCAAATCTATATCGACACGGTCATCCTAACTCCTCAGATCCACAGAGATCTTCCCAATGTCACAGCTGACACTGTACTTGAGAGGCTTTATACTTTTTGTTGCTTAACTCGGGTTTATTGCTAACATTTGAAGCGAGTGAGAGAAGCTTTCGTGTTTCAGCTGTGAACGGATAAACTGTGCGGTTAACTTTGAGAGCAAAAAATCGGAGATTGGGGTAGTATACGGTGGACTTTCCATCCGGGATGGATACCACATGGTTTGCGATTTTTAAGAATGGTAAACACTGTTGCGACCAACGCTTACGAAACAAGGGAGATAAGAACAGGTAACAAAGATTGTAAATGTTATTCTTCTGACCGATCGGAAACTTCAAGATGAAAGTAGGGGGGACAGTGATAGTACAATTGTTTATAAAAGCGAAGAAAGCAAAAAACATCTCGCCCAACCACATGGTTTAGATATTCCGGTGAATGAATCCGATACCCCAGTTGGTTCATTCTCGGGTGATTGTAGAACAGGACGGGCCAGAAAATGGACTTGACCCGTTTATGTCCGCGCACAATTCAGGAATGGATTAATCTCCATTAAAACTGGGTTAATGACCGAGAAGTTTTAATCCGCTAATAACAAGTACTGGTGTAAATGTGATACACAAGGACAAGACGCCCGACAACAAATAACCATAAAAAGGCCTGTACATCATGACTGGCTATTAAGTACTATGTCCGCAGGACAGGATGACACCTTGCAGCTAAAATTCCACAGCTCATAAGGAGGATGCAAAACATAATGGTGGCAATTGGAAAGGGAATAATTTTGGATATCTATCAATAAGTTTTGAAACATTCACTATGGCTAAGTTTGCTGAAAACTCTTCGACAGCCCAAGACCTGTTTCACCCTTCTTGGGGCTTATCAGGTAGACGCAGTCCCCAAGTTCATGCCAATCCGATGTTCCTCCTGAGCATCAAATTGTCTATAGTTGGCAAAATACATTAACTTCTATAGCAAGTTGGTGTCAAGGGGAGACTCAACTGAACCCTAGTTGAGTGTCCACTTCACGATATTTTTTAACTGAGTGTACATGAAAATTCTTCGGTACTCCAACCGAGTTAACCCTCTTATGTGGTTAATGAGTTAGGTGCAATTTTTGAGTTTTCCGAACTTTATGTTCGACTACCATTTCGCTTGAAGCAAAACACCATGTTGCCGAAAACGGTGGGAGTGGGCCTACCAGATGAATTCCAAGTAGGGGAAAACGGTCGTCGAATACCTCACCAAAAAGGACTGGAAAGACTGGAGACCGTGAAAATTAGCTGTTGATACTATTCGCGACTTCTCCCAAATGATCCCATCATAGTCGACTTCACGACTAGCATAGCTTCACTAAGCCTCAAAGGCAGATGCAGAGGGAAACCAATCGTGCAAGGGATTTTGGCTTCGTGCCCATGATAAGACTTCCGGTGTAGAACACTACAGTTGATTACGTGCCATGATCGAGGGTTTATGGGGAGTCAGGGTAAACTGATTGCACATCGGAGAACCAGTGTGACTCATCGCAGAGGTAATCTGGAATGAGTCCACGGTGTGACCCGAGGCATCCTATCACCGAGCACTGGATGGTATTGTTAGTTGCGGTAAGTAGGTGTGGCTGACGGTTTTTCCTTCCTGTTACGAACAAAAATACAAATCCTCAAGAAACAGTAGACACTCACCGATCAGGTACCCAAATGCCCGCATCAATTATGGATCGAATGAACACATCTTTCTCAGCACAATAGGGACATTTCAAATAGTGCAGTGCGGCTGAGGCGGCATATCCGGCGATGCATGATCGATGCATCCAAGCCTTGGGACAACAGAGACCGTGTATGCTATTGTGTGTCCAAGCTTCGTAAGCTGCCATCTGCTGTTTGTCTGGCTTATCGGAAAGAGATACCTTCAACCAATCAGGAAGATGGCTGAGAGCTGGATGGATCCTGCTTGAAGAACACAGTGTAGTCGAGGATACAGTCGGCTCATCCGGAATAGGCTCCGGGTCTACAGACAAATCGGAAACTTCCCAGCTGCTACTGCAATAATACAAAATGTGAAAGAGAAATAAGGATTTATGGGAAACCTGAAAGCACAATGCAGCTTCAAAGCACAGCTAGAAGGATATGGGGTAAGAACTTGTACGTATTGGTACGACGAATGAGCTTAAGAAAACAGCTGGCAAATCCGATAGCAATTGTACTCAGATAGCCACTCCCAACACGCAGTAGCTGGTAAAATCGCTACCGTTCAATAAAAGATAAATCCCATAGCCACCCAAATTTGAGCACCAAAATAGTCAACAAGTCTAACTCGCTCATGGGTGGCCGATAGAACCTGATCGGCGTCAACAATATAAAAGTCCATCATCATCAAGCATAGCAACATCAATGTTGACACTGACACTTCACTGCCGTGAAACCACAAAGTTTACCTAATTATATTTAAAGCCTTAGAATGGAAAGACATCAATCAGCCGTCATCTCTTTCAACTTCTCCAGCTAGGCACAGGATGGGTCACGAGGACCCCATCATAGAAGGCTGTTCGCACCACCAATAAGCAAACTCGTGATCTTTTTCATACCCTTCTGCAAAGTCCACCTAGCGGTTTGCGCCATTCTGACGGAGACACAGAGAACAACACTCGTCTCGGTAGACGGTGTTTCACCATGCGTAGGACATGGTCACATGCTGTATGTTTTTCGCGACTGAAGTGCCAGCTGCACAACCAAACACCGGTTTCCTCATTACATCGTTACGAATTCGTCGACGCCAACCGACACCAGCAATGCTTCTGAATGACTTTGCACTTTCAGGGTGCAAACGCACGCCGGAAGATGGTATGATAAAGCTTGTGCTTGGACATCGACAAGGCTCTCACCAGCGACAATTTAGACACCCGGGTTTCGAAGACCTTCCAGCTCACTTCACATCGGTTCCGGATTGAGTGTTCGAACTTCACACTATGTACATTTTAAGCACGGTACACATCGTACGGCGTCTTCAATTATTTTTCCTGGCTTCCAGCATAGGGAGAAACCTTGGTAGTGTTCCGCTGTCCACTAGTCTAACCTTTGGATTTTCTGTATAAAAGTGGAGGGTGGTTGTTTGTCATCATGAAAACAAGCTGCCACTATCCACTGGTGGGTATGACTGGATATGAAAAGCAACTGCATGCGAAGATGAGAGACAAGCATGACTTGACGCTTCTAGTACCCAGTCGTTCTCAGGAACATCGATATAAAATATACGTGTGCCTTTTTAACCATTTGGGCATGCGTACAACTGTGACCAGCAAATGAGAAGTCGCTGCGTTTCGGTTAACTTTGAGCTTAAACGATCCTGCTAACTCCACTTCAGTAGCTCCAAGTGGATAAGCGAGTTGGTCGTATCAATCCTAAGTTCACCAAATTCGTTCTCATCAGGGACCAGGATGGTTATATCTCTGACTCTGAGGTCAAAAGATTCATTCTTATCAGATTCGATGTGAGTGGTCAGTTTTCCGGACGAATTCGGTGCGCTGTCTGAACCAGTCGACGGATGAAAACTGTCTAAAACTACTGAGAGTTTCACTGAAAGGAGACGGTTTGTCAGGTAAACGGGTTCGCAGTGAAAAGATGCGCGTTTTTTCCCGAAATGCCCCCGGAAAGGAGTGTTTGCTTGACCTAGACCGTCCAAAGCACTTGTCTGAATAGTCCTCGTTTCACGACACGATTAGTCTGGTTGGTTCACACCAAGCTGAAGCTGGTCATGCCGGATACTGAACTCCGATTATCTGAACTGCTTGCCAGAAGTATCCATGGGATGGGAAAAAGCATAATGATACCAACGAAGTCACCATTCGTACTCAGACAGTCCTGTTTATTTAAATACGAAGGAGCTATTGACACAGTACCTGGGAGTTAAGGCTAATTTGTAACAACCACGGACAGGAGACCTGAATCTGGTCGGCAATCAAGAATAGCACAAACTTACTTGGACGTGGAGAGACGTCGTACAGACAGTTCTACGGAGACGCGGACACGTTTGGGTGTAGACATTGCCATGCAATTCCTTCGTGGTAGTCTCCTATTGTTCACCGGGGTATTAAAAACTTTGGAATGTGGGGGATCAGTTTCCTTGTTCTTGCACTTGGCTACAGTGGGTAATGGTTCACTTTTATCCTCTTCAGGTAGCATTGGGAATAGGCATACACAGCAAGCCGGTACCTCGGTGCAGTGCTTCAGCAAATTTTCTAAATGAAAAAAACAAGCAAAGAAATGTAAACGTGGACAATCGACCGTGTCTTGATTGGGAGCAGAATTACTGTATTAGGAAGTTCGCAACCGGTGAACAGGACCACAATAGGGTTAACGCAGCTTTCGCCTCCCACGGTATCTGCATGATGCTGAGTTAGCCACAGAACTGCTTTCGCTATCAGATACTAAGCTTTAGGACCTACAGGAGGGCCACTCTACTTCGTCTTCCACAACAAGCTCCAAGGAGTACGGAAATGGGGACTTCCTTAAATGGTCATCCAACTGCGTGACCGTATGCCTGAAACCCTCGGGTGCACACCTATTTATCAGGTGCCAATCTTTCGGTTTCGTCAACGCAGATGTAGACTTGAATAAGGAAATCCCTTATACCACAGCGGAAGCGCCCGAACGACGTAAGTTGAACTACATTGGCACCATCCACCCAGTAATTCAGGTTTATTGTCACTATGGATGGCTGTGTTTAATCATTTTGTCCAAGAAGATTGTAATTTGTGCACAGTGCTCGATCAGCCATATGCGACGCTGTTATCAGGGATAATCGCATTGGCCTTCAACATGACGCAGTGGAGATCTCCGCTACAAATGTATAATGCACACTAATGACATTAAACGGTGCTCAGCGTCCACTGAAAATGAATATAGTGTAACAATGGAAAGTCACTGACTCGTGCAAAGCTGCACGACGAAATCCATGCTGATTTGCCGGAGAATGCTTCTTTTGTGTATGTACCAGAAGAATGTGGAAAACTAATAATAGCACGAGAGACAAGTTAGTCGAAAAACAGTTCCGATCTTTTTAGTATACGAATTTTTGATGAGAAGACATTTCATGACGTGGATAAAATCATAAGACATGAACAAAGTACGTTTAACTGGTTCACAAGAATTACCGAAGGCCTCCCGTTGCAGATGAGATAGGAACAGCGATGGCGTACTTGTCACGTACAGCGCTTCGGATGATTCAGGGAAGCCGCGTCTAACAAGTGAGAAACTGGCTGATCAAACGTTCACAAAGTTGGCCTGGGACATTAGGAAATACTTAGTGGAAAGAACCAGAATTAGGTTGTTATATTTAGTCCAACATTCCAGGGATGTGGGGTAAGTAGCTGCGCATAAGAGGCGATAAATTGGTGGAGAGACGTCGTACAGACAGTTCTACGGAGACGCGGACACGTTTGGGTGTAGACATTGCCATGCAATTCCTTCGTGGTAGTCTCCTATTGTTCACCGGGGTATTAAAAACTTTGGAATGTGGGGGATCAGTTTCCTTGTTCTTGCACTTGGCTACAGTGGGTAATGGTTCACTTTTATCCTCTTCAGGTAGCATTGGGAATAGGCATACACAGCAAGCCGGTACCTCGGTGCAGTGCTTCAGCCAATTTTCTAAATTCTGTGAAAAAAACAAGCAAAGAAATGTAAACGTGGACAATCGACCGTGTCTTGATTGGGAGCAGAATTACTGTATTAGGAAGTTCGCAACCGGTGAACAGGACCACAATAGGGTTAACGCAGCTTTCGCCTCCCACGGTATCTGCATGATGCTGAGTTAGCCACAGAACTGCTTTCGCTATCAGATACTAAGCTTTAGGACCTACAGGAGGGCCACTCTACTTCGTCTTCCACAACAAGCTCCAAGGAGTACGGAAATGGGGACTTCCTTAAATGGTCATCCAACTGCGTGACCGTATGCCTGAAACCCTCGGGTGCACACCTATTTATCAGGTGCCAATCTTTCGGTTTCGTCAACGCAGATGTAGACTTGAATAAGGAAATCCCTTATACCACAGCGGAAGCGCCCGAACGACGTAAGTTGAACTACATTGGCACCATCCACCCAGTAATTCAGGTTTATTGTCACTATGGATGGCTGTGTTTAATCATTTTGTCCAAGAAGATTGTAATTTGTGCACAGTGCTCGATCAGCCATATGCGACGCTGTTATCAGGGATAATCGCATTGGCCTTCAACATGACGCAGTGGAGATCTCCGCTACAAATGTATAATGCACACTAATGACATTAAACGGTGCTCAGCGTCCACTGAAAATGAATATAGTGTAACAATGGAAAGTCACTGACTCGTGCAAAGCTGCACGACGAAATCCATGCTGATTTGCCGGAGAATGCTTCTTTTGTGTATGTACCAGAAGAATGTGGAAAACTAATAATAGCACGAGAGACAAGTTGGTCGAAAAACAGTTCCGATCTTTTTAGTATACGAATTTTTGATGAGAAGACATTTCATGACGTGGATAAAATCATAAGACATGAACAAAGTACGTTTAACTGGTTCACAAGAATTACCGAAGGCCTCCCGTTGCAGATGAGATAGGAACAGCGATGGCGTACTTGTCACGTACAGCGCTTCGGATGATTCAGGGAAGCCGCGTCTAACAAGTGAGAAACTGGCTGATCAAACGTTCACAAAGTTGGCCTGGGACATTAGGAAATACTTAGTGGAAAGAACCAGAATTAGGTTGTTATATTTAGTCCAACATTCCAGGGATGTGGGGTAAGTAGCTGCGCATAAGAGGCGATAAATTGGTGGGTAAATACAGCACTGTCAGTGGACTGCTAAGTTGGGGGGGGGTTGGGAATGGAGCTATGCATCGAAGGCAATAGCTTGGATACATGAGCGCAATTGAGGGTGCGAATGGGCCACAATGGGCCTCACAATGTCTCTAACCACTGATGTGGCCCATCTCATGGTCCCCATCCAGGAAGACGGCAAGGACCAGCGCAGCTGAGCTTGCTGGTAGTGGCTTTCATGCTTCGCTGTTTGACCACCTCTCACTTTATTCCACCCTTCACGTGGTTGTGCGAAAAGAGCCCGTCGAGGAAGTCGGTCCACTGGCATATGCAGCACGTAGCCAAGTTAGCGCAACCTATGCAGTGTGATCAGTTCATCTATCGTGGGTGAGTTATTTCTCCCGAAAACCATTCGACGTACATCACCATCGCTTATCCAGTGTTCACGCTAAACTCAGGCAATGCTCCGAAGACATCGATGGTCAAACACTGAAAGTCTTTTGACGTCCTCGGCGCGCAGCGGCTAGGTTTCTGATCCGTATAGTAATATGGGGCGCACCGCATAATTGTAAACTCGACCCTCGACGGAGAAGCTGATGTCACGCCCACACCACAGGTGACGGATGTTCAAAAGCTGCTCTGACCTTCACAACCCGGATGGAAATTTCATTTTTCGGGAGACCACCGGGACTGATACAGCTGCCCAGGTGAACAAACTTGTCTACTACCTCAATCAGTCCATCTGCAAGCGAGGCTAGGGTTCGAGCCCACTCAGTCTTGCATCAGCACTTTACACTTTTCAGGTGTAAAACGTATGCCAAACCGTGAGGCGGAATTATTCAGATTATTTACTATTTGCATTACCACGGGGTCAGATCCAAGAAAAGCTATGTCGTCGGTATATTAGATATGTGTGAGTGGACACCCCGGGAGCACTTCCACTCTATAGGCATTAGAGGCTCATAGTGAATATTCCAAGATCGTATCAATGACGAAGTTGAAGAGGAAAGGTGAAAGAGGACAGCCGTCTGACACCACTTAATGTGGTGAACTTAGAAGAAAGCTTCCCGTAGACCTTCACACGACCGCGGGAGTTGGCGCACAGCGCCTTAAGGAGGGTCAAGAACTTATGGGGGATATCACTGCTCCACAGACACTGCCATAATGTCTGACAGTCTAGAGTCAGAGGCAGCTTTCGGATTGAGAAATACAACCATTGTTGGTTGCTGCGACCAGTATCGCTGTTCCAGAAATGATCGATGCAACCTCTTGCAGGACGGAACCCAGCTTGGTTTTCACGGATCTGCCTCTCCCTGTGTTCAGTCAACCTTCGAAGGATAAGGCCAGAGAACACCTTTGATGCCACAGCTAACAGGCTGATGCAACAGTGATTTTCACGTGGCGTCCCGTACCCTTTTTGAAGAGGGTGCCTGCTCCATTCTGCAGGCACTTTCTCTTCGTCCCACATAGTGCCAATAAGCTTTGTCAGGTGGGTCACCAGGGAATTTCCGCCTTCTTTGAAGAGGGCTGGATACAGACCGTCCGGTCCTGGTGCCTTCTCACGTTTCAGTACGGCTATTTCATACCTTATTTCTTCTTCCGAAGGGCAATCAAGGTTTACATTCCATTCGCCCGTATGCATCATCTCCACCGGCTGTGTTGCAGGAGGCCATGTGAACTGCTCTTCGAAGTGTTCGGCTCAACTTTTTTGCGAGTGAACTAATGAGTCATCTTTTTCACTCATTGTTTCGTTGACCGCTGGTTTCCTGGGATCTTGGTCTGGCTGCTCCCCTTTGGCCTTCTCGGCACGGTTGTACCTTGTGGAACGAAATTCTAGTCAGTGTAGCCCGCGGGATCATTGCAGCACTCAAGCCCGACCACCACATCAAGGTGCCTTGTGGGTCAGACTTTTGAGTCGAAGGCTCAAGGTGGGGTACCTCAACCAAACCCCCGTCATCGACCTGGGCAACCGGGAGGTATCGTTTGCCCGCTCAGCTCAGCGTCCACCGATGTCCCTCCCCAGGTATCTGGTGATGCTGACGCAACCATTTGTAGTAGCTACGGTGGGAGTTGCCCTCAGTCTCAAGGCGGAAAGCGCTTTATTGGACTGGATCCCCGTAAGTAGTCGTGCGCTGTACAGTTGTCTTGGCTCGAGAGAGCTCAGTGGTTAAGGCGGAATCTTACGAATCGCACAGCCTGTGGCTCAAACTCAACCTCAACATTTCGACTGCTCCTCTCTAGGCTAGGCAACCTGACTGTATTGAATCCCTCGTGCCTTCACCTGCTAGTAGCGAAGCTAGGAACCGAAAGGGTGCTACAGCTGAACGACGTGTAGTTGTTTGGTTAAGATCAATGCATGTTGATCGTATGAACGGTGTGTATCTGTTGTATTAGTATACGCCCCGACAGACTGCAGTTCTGAGACTGAAA